TTTTTTTTTTGGTATTATTTCTTGTCAGTTTCTTCTTAGTTTTAATGTTTCCTTGTTCTACTTGGATCTTCATTTTCATGGTAAGTTGTGAAGTGTTAACTTTCTTTGGGGTCATCCTATAGTCTATTAACTTTTCCCTCCATTTAAGATAGTCTAATGTATCCTGCAATCTATCTGACCTGGATCTCTGCTCCTGTATTTTCCCCTTCTTTGATATTGTTAATATTTTGGTCTTTGTTTGGCCTCACAGGTCCCGTGAATTCATTGTTGTAATTTTGTTCTGTTCTGTACTCTGCTACCTGTCATCTGAGTTCTGGGTGGTGTTGCCACGTCTGTCAATCTCTGGTTGTTGTCTGTTCTTGTTAGTTTTCATTCCAAAGAACTCCCTTTAGGATGTTTTGAAGCTCTGGATTGGCTTTGACAAAATCTCTTAGCTTCTGCTTATCCTAGAATGCTTTGATTGCACCATTGTATTTGATTGACAGTTTTGCTGGATAGACAATTCTTGTTTGGCAGGTTTTTTTTTTTTTTTCTTTTCGGGTCTTATATATGTCTCCCCATTGCCTTCTTGCCTGCATGGTGTCTGCTGAGAAGTCAAAGCTTAATCTGATTTGCTTGCCTTTGTAGGTAACACTTCTCTTTTCCCTGGTTACTTTTAGGATCCTCTCCTTGTTGTTGTTTTTGGAGAGCTTGATTATGAAATGTTTTGGCGATTTTTTTGGTGGGTCTGTCCTTCCTGGGGTTCATTCAGCTTCTTGAATGTTTATCTTCTCATCCTTCAAGATATTAGGGAAATTTTCTACCAGTAGTTCCTCAGCTATCTCCTCTGTGAACTTCTGTGATTCATCCTGTTCCAGAATGCCAATAATTCTTAAGTTATTCCTCTTCATTTTATCCAGCATGAATCTTAGACTCTGTTCAGATTTTTTAAATCCTTTTTTCTGCTTTCTCATCAATCTTAACAAAATTGAGAGATTTGTCTTCCAGCTCACTGGTTCTGGCTTCCATCTCATCAATTCTATTCCTTTGCCCTTTCAGTGTATTGCCCATTTCTGATATTTTATTATTAATCATCTGGACCTCTTTTTGCAGGTTTTGACTTGTTTCCAATGCTGTGCCTCTCTTGTTTGATTGGTACTGTAGCACTTTCCTGACTTCTTCCTTATTTTCTTTCACCCTTATGTGGAACATTGGAGTTTGTCTCCATATCATCCTTCTGAATTCCTTCTCAGGCAGATCCACAGTCTGCTCTTCTTCTAGTTGGAAGTCTATGTCTGCCTCCATCTCATTTGTCTCAGTTACTCTTTTCTGTTTTTGGACATGTGCTGATATCTTTTTCTGTTTTTACTTGGACATTTTCAGTAATTAGGTGGGTTTTCAATGATTCAGTGTATGTTGCTGTGTTGTTAAGCTTACTGAGTGTCTACTGGTGGATGTGATCTGGAGATAGACTTCCCTTTTCACGTGTAATGCCTACCAGCTGGTATTGGCTCATGTCCAGATGGTCGGATATTATGGAGTATGATTGTAGCTTGGCTATATGGCCATGATTGCTGCCTCCCCTTAGGTAAGGTAGGGGAAAAAAGTGAGACCAAAAGGACCAAAAACAGATACAATATAAAAGCAGAGATGAAAACCACCACTCAAAAACCAAAAATAAAATCATAGCCAACTGTACACAAGCCTTTGCTGGACAGGTCAGTGTGTGTGCACAGTAGAAACCTTCAGTGGTGGGTGGAGGTGTCCCCTCGCTCTGGCCCCTCCTCTAGTCATCACTGTGGAGGTGTGCAGAGATACTGAAAAATAAATGGAAGTAAGATTGCCTACTATTTTTATCTCTGAAGGTCAGTTATTGTTGTTGTTATGTGCCATGGAGTTGGTTCCAACTCATAACAACCCTGCATAGGGTTTCTGAGGCTGTAGATCTTTATGGGAGCAGAAAGCCTCATCTGTCTCTCGCTGAACAGCTGGTAGTTTCGAACTGCTGACTGTGAGATTAGCAGCCCGATTCGTAACCACTACGCTGCGACCTTGTATATAATAGTTGGTGTTGGGTCTTGCCTTTAATGTTGGGGTTTTTTTAAGGTACACATATGGTTTTGCTGTTTGGCCAGACCTGCTTTTTCTTGCTAGATAAGGCAGGAATAAAGAGTCCTTCTCAGGTCAACGTTAGGACTGGGTCCCAGAGTCAGATGTCATAAGAAGCAGCCAAAGGATCAGCCTATGGGACCAATGGGGTTCCCAGGAACCTACTCTCTGTGCCATGAGAAAACTGTGGGCACAAGGCTGGGCCCTTTTGGCAGTGTGCTCTCACCTCTGGGCAGTGAGTGTGCGACAGGGGAGAGGAGGAAAGAAAGGTGTAAAATCCGTCATACCTCTTTTTCCTGATGCCGCTCCTGGTTTTTAGAGCTCTTTTACTCTATCATCCCGGCTGTGGCCCTGACCTTGGATCTCAGCCCAGGCCAAGAGGCCCTCCAGGGAGTGTCCCGAGGGATTCAGAAATTGCCATACTTTTCTTCCACAGTCAGATTTCTCCACCAGTGGGCGCAGGAAACTGGTGCCTGGTGCCTGGCACCTTATATTAGATCCAAAACTCTGAAGCTGCTCTGGGAAAGCGCCTTCTCTCATTTTTGTGCGCCTCCGCTAAGGAGCCTCCCCTACCTGTCTCTGCTTCTCCCCAAAATTGCATTATGTTTTATCAATCTTGCCTTAAGGTTTGTTGGAGTGTGAACCATTGCAAGGAAGAGATGAAGATGCAGTAGCTAGCGCTGACTTTTCTAGCATGCTATCGGAGGAGGAAAAAGAAGAGCTAAAGGCAGAATTAGTTCAGGTATGGTCAGACATCTTTTTTGTTAAAAGCTTTTTATTGTAATTTGGGTGAAAGTTTACACAGCAAATTAGTTTTCCATTGGTTAATGATCTTATTGTTCATATTTCTATTTCTAGATCATGAGAGTTACCAAGAGTTTGTTCTCAGTCACTTATTACAATGATGGGTCTTCCATTTAATAAAAGTTTATAAATGAACACACTGCAAGAGTTTTTCTTTCCCAGAGTGTTTTTGCAATGCTAAATTGTCCATTTCCCTTGGGAGTCACAAATAGTAACATGATTGACTAATAGTTGATGTTTCACATCTGTCCAGAGGTGCCTTGGCAGACAGGCCTCGTGATCTGTTTCTACACAGTCACACCCTATAGAGCCGTTTCGCTCTGCACAGTGAAGCCATCAGGAGCTGGAACTGACTCAGTAGCAACTCACAGCAACAGGTGTCCTCTCTGCACATTGATTTCACTGATAGAATGAGTAACGGTGCTGCTCATACAACAAGTGTACTTGGTTTTTACCATGCACACGTATTTCTTTTAATGCCAGAACAATACAGGGTTAATAAATCCCTTACAAACCTGATGGACTCCATTCGGCGTCCTGGCACAGGTGCCAGCTCCTTTTAAAAGTAGCGATTTTTGAGGTTAGCAACCTTGTGCAAAAATGACTTATCTGTTAATGAAAAAGTCAGTCATCAAAGCACCTGAATGTCAACTGGTATACTCTGTTGCAAGAAGAATAATGCTGTGGTGGTCCACAGGAAAGCAATGATTAAATTAGACTTAATTAGGTTTTGTGTAGTTGCTGTGGGGATGTGGACAGAGAGGGGAGAAGGGCACCTGGTTCATCGTAAGTATCACTCTTTGTTTAAGGCTTTTGTTTGCAGGATCCACTAACTCTTAAACACTTTACTAAGAAGCCTTTACTTTGTAGGAGGCCTGGGCTGGAAGCAGGGAGCTCCTCAAGTAGATTTGAGTAGCACATCTGAAGGGAAAGAGGCCAGCATTTCCTGCCCATTTTATGCCCATGGGTTTAGAGTAGAAGATCCTTTTCCAGGTGGAAACAAGACTTTGCATTCCCATGAGAACTTTTTCTACAGCCTGAGGAGGTGGCTGTGAGCTCAACATAGAGTTACTCAGACTCCCTTTGCCTACTCTAGACTTTTGAAGTTGTAAAATTCTGAGTCTGTATTTTCCATTCTGTTCTCTTTTAGGTATTGGTGAGTCTATTCCAACTCATGGTCACCCCATGTTGTCAGGTTAGGACGGTGCTCCACTGGGTTTTCACTGGCTACTTTTTTGGAAATAGATTACTAAACCTTTCTCTCCAGGTGCCTCTGGGTGGACTCAAACCTCTATCTTTTGGTTGGAAGCCAAGTGCATTTGAACCATAAAGGAACTCTAGCACTATTACAAGAGATTATGATAGCTTCTGGGAGAAAGATGAGGCTTTCAGCTCCCACAAAGATTTAAACCCTGGTGTTGTTGTTGTTAAGTGCCATTGAGTCGGTTACATCTAATAGCGACCCTTTAGAGGGTTTCTGAAGAGTGGCTTATGGATTTGAACCATCAACCTTGCAATTCAAATGGACCTTGTGGTCCAGTGCTTATCCTACAGCACCTCAGCATCATGTCCCACTCTAGCCTTCCTGAGACATGAATCCTCACTTTGTCCAGAGTATCCTGCCCAATACTCAATTATTAGATCAACAAGCCATGATATCATAGTGCGTGTGTTCAGGTAACCCTTATTTTATATAATAATGTACCTATTTTATTCCTAGTTATTGTTGTAATCTCTTATGGTGGGTAATTTATAAATTAAACTTTACCATAGGTCTTGCATGTATAGGAAAAAAGCATAGTACATATAGAGGGTTTGGTACTATGTGTGGTTTCAGGCATCCACTGAGGGTCTTGAAATGTATATCCTACAGATAAGAGGGGACTACATTGTTGTTAGGGGCTGTTGTGTCGGTTCTGACTCATAGTGACACTGTGCACAACAGAATGAAACACTGTGCAGTCCTGTGTCATCCTTACAATTACTGTTCTGCTTGAGCCCATTGTTGCTGCCACTGAGTCATTCCTTACTGTTGGATAGCTTCCTCTTTTTCATTGAACCCTCCACTTTACCAAGCCATTAAGGTCAGCTCTACTTTGAGGAGGCAGCTCTTCCCCTGTTGTATTTTGGGTACCTTCCAACCTGAAGGGCTCATCTTCCGGCACTATATCTGATAGTGTTCTGCTGCTATTTATAAGATTTATAGTGGATAACCATTCAGAAATGGCCCACCTCTCTATCTTCCTAACCTGTCTTAGTCTGGAAGCTCTGTTGAAACTTGTCAACCATGGATGACCCTGCTGATATTTAAAATGCTCGTGGCATAGCTACCAGAATCCCAGTAAAACACAAGCTGCTACAGTACAAGAAACTAACAGTTGAGTAGTGAAAGAGGAGACTAATGAAAAAAAAAACCTTGAATTTCAGTCTCAGCTGTTCTATAAGCAGTCTCATCTGTGAATGAGGGAGCACATTTATTAGAATTTTTGTGATCCTTTGAGTACTAACAGTTTGTGACCATGGCATCAACAATGACTGATACTCATCATCTCTAAACTTGATCTGTAAAGAGGATCCTTGAATGATGTGTTAAGATAAGGCAGCATTCTGTTATGGACTCTTATTTATATATGTATATATATAGAAAAGGAGCTCTGGTAGCGTAGTGGTTACGAATTGGGCTGCGAACCTTAAGGTCAACGGTTCGAAACTACCAGCCGCTCCGCGGGAGAAAGATGAGGCTTTCTACTCCCGTAAAGATTTACACCCTCGGAAACCCTGTACAGGGTCGCTATGGGTCGTAATCGACTCGACGGCACTTAACAACAACAATATATGGAAAGGAGCTCTGGTAGCATAGTGGTTATGAATTGGGCTGCGAACCGCAAAGTCAGCAGTTCGAAACTACCAGCTGTTCCGCAGGAGAAAGATGAGGCTTTCTGCTCCATAAAGACTTATAGCCTCGGAAACCTTGTACAGGGTCTCTATGAGTCAGAACTGACTTGATGGCACTAGACAACAACAGCAATATATAAGGAGCTCTGGTGTTGCAGTGGTTATTAGTTGGACTGCTAACCTTAAGGTCAGCAGTTCAAAACTACCAGTCATTTCACGGGAGAAAGATGAAACTTTCTGCTGCCATAAAGATTTACAGCCTCGGAAATCCTATGCAGGGTCACTATGAGTTGGAACCGACTCCACAATACACCACCACCACCATATATCTATACACACACATATACATTGTTGTTGTTAAGTACCATCAAGTCAGTTCTGACTCATATCGAGTAGCAGTCCAGTGTTTGTTCTACAGCACCACACCAGGAGAGTGTGAGTATATGTATATATATGACAAGGTTGTGTTCTTTCACCATACTTATTCAACCTCTAAGCTGAGCAAATAATACGAGAAGCTGGGTTCTATGAAGAAAAACATGGCATCAGGATTGGAGAAAGACTCATTAACAACCTGCGATATGCAGATGA